ACTTTATTCATCACTGTTGTTGAAAGTCTGAACTTATCACGAATATAAGAAAACAACAGGCAAATTTCTTCGGACACACAATGCGGAAAGTAGCATTAGAGAATATTGTAACAACAGGAAAGTTAGAAGGAAAGAGAGGCAAAGGCAGGTAGAGGGAAAAGATAATGGACAAGATGACAACATGGTTGGGAGCAGCAAGAACAACAGACACCATCGCTGCAACGCAGGACAGGGTGAAGTGGAGGTCCATGATCGCCCACGCCAGTCGGCAAGGCACCGGATGATGATGATACTATAGTGGGTAGTGGTTGGTGATGCATGTGCCGGGACAAGCACCTGGCATGGTTGGGCTTATCAATGTCTGTACATGCAGTCGTGAATTGTTTGTACGGTATTATTTTTCGTTTGTTCGTGGACTACATATCAAGGCTGATAGTGATCCTATAAAAATAGCCGTAGTACAAGTACAACAATGTGTTCTTATTTATATTATAGACATTTTGGTGTTCAAATGGAACCATCTCAATGAACACCAAAATGAAAGTTGTGAAATGCTATGTTTGGTCAACCCTTCAGTATGGCTGTGAATGCAGGACAATCACTAAAGACAGTGAAAATAAAATAGAAGCAACAGAAATGTGGTTTCTTAGGAGACTGCTAAGGGCTAAGAGTATAGTGGAAGGAAAAGAAATCGAATGAGGTAGTGCTTGATGAAGCCCACGTGGGACGCTCAATGTTAAAAACAATCAGGAAACGACAAATGCAGTTTTTTTAAAACATATAAATAGACATAAGGGTCTTGAACATCAGGCTCCCACTGGCCAAATTGAGGGCAAGCGAGGCAAGGGAAGGCCTAGAACAACATACTTAGGGAACCTAAACAAATAGGTAACAGGGAAAGATCAGTGAAACGAGCTTTTTTTGAGAGCATCCAAGCAAAGGAATGAATGGAGAACCATGATCGCCGATGTCTGTTGTAGATCTGGCACTGGATGATGATGATGGTCCCCTGGTCCTATTAAAAAAGAAGTGGTACAATGTAATATACTTAAAATCTATATAGATTGGCCCCCTGATTCTATAAAAAACAGTAGTAGTACAATATGTGAGGCAGCGTGGTGGAATCAGGCTCTCGTCAATTTTGGGGCATGTAGAGTTATTGATATCATCTTAAAGCTGGTTCAATTGTCTTTATTTGGAAGAAAAAAATATCCATTTATCTTCTATACAAGTCGAGATATATGCAAATGAAGGAGGTGGGGGTCACCTGTTTTCAGAGGTAAATTTCGTGAGAAAATGGCCGCTTAGATTAGTTATTTCCTTAGCTTTTAAGAGTCCGTGGTAACTGAAAATTTACACTTTTTGTGCCTTTAATCAAGGGTTTTCAGAAAAATCCACACAGAAAAAAGTTCTTTAATGGGCATGAAAGGTGTTGTGCAAAAAAAAAAAGTTGATAAATATTCACAAACCTGCGGAAAAATGCAAGTTTCTTCATTTTGATTATTTTGACGAGAGCCCGATTCCACGTCGCTGCCTCACATATTATGCACTTACCTTTATAGATAGACTTTTGAAAAACGACCAAGACAAATTTGTCCTGTGAGATAAATGAAAATTGTCATTGTCAAACCGATCGCCCGATTCTGGGAGAGAAAACATCATCATCATTGCCTTTCACCCCTGACAGGGTATAGGCAACATACAAGCTCCTTCCGTTTATCTCTATCCTGGGCCATCCTTCCCAGCTCGTTCCAAGTGAGCTTCATCTTTCTCATGTCCCTTTCCACACATCTCCTCCATGTCTCTCGTGGCCTACCCCTGCCTCATGCTCCCTGTGGGTTCCATTGCAGTGACTGTCTTGAGATGTTTCCGCTGGGCTTTCTGAAGGTGTGTCCCATCCAACGCCACTCTCTTAGTCCTATTTCTACTTCTATATATCCTTTTGTCCTGTCCTTTCCCATAGCTCTTCATTTCTCATTCTATCATCATCATCATTGCCTTTCTCACCCTGCACCAGGGTATAGGCCACGGACAAACACCCTCCACTTTTCTCTATCCTGGGATAACCTCTTGATGTTATTCCATGTCTTTCCACTTTTCTGTACATCGATTTCTGTGATTCTTCTCCAGGTTCCACGAGGTCTTCCCCTTGATCTCTTGCCCTGTGGGTTCCAATCCAAAACTTTCTTTGTTATGCAGCTGCCTGACTTCCTGAGAGTAAGAGTATGTCCAATCCATCGCCACCGCCTTCTTCCTACCTCATCCCCGACCGGGATCTGTCCTGTTTTCCTCAACACTTCCACATTGGTGACCGTGTCTGTCCATCTGATCATCAGTAACTTTCTTAGACACCTGTTCAAGAAAACCTGGTTCTTATTCTATCGTGCCACTTAATTCTTAGAATACTCCTCATACATCTGTTGATGAAAGTCTGGACTTTATTCAGCATCTGCTGATGAAAGTCTGGACTTTATTCAGCATCTGTTGATGAAAGTCTGGACTTTATTCAGCATCTGTTGTTGAAAGTCTGGACTTTATTCAGCATCTGTTGTTGAAAGTCTGGACTTTATTCATCATCTGT